GACTTGTCTGCCTTTGCCGTGTCTCCAAACTTTCCTCTTTTTAGTAGATCCGGTCTTCACCTCTCTGAGCACTTCTTGGAAAACCCTGAGAAGCTGACGGAAGCATCCAGTGCTTCTTGTGCTCCTCGCAGCAAGTTTGCACAAAGTGTGTGTGATGACATCTTGCCTCTGGGCTTCTTGGGATCTTTCAGTTGTTCTTCCTCAGTGAGGCACAGAGTCGCCCAGTGCCAGACCGGCTCTCACTTGCCCGGGAGCTGTCTCTATGGAGCTCAATGTGCTGCAATAGCTTTTTTACCTTTTAAGAAACATACTGTACAACCCAGGCATGGCGGTTCATGCTTATGAACTCAAGACCTTCAGAGGCTGAAGCAAGAGAAACACGACTTTGAGGCTAGCCTGCATTACAAAGTGAGACTCTTCACAAAACACACACACACACACACACACACACACACACACACACCACACAAAGGTAAGTACATGATCTATAGTCATCCCACTATACAGTATAAAATCAGAATATATTTACGTACTTCTCCTGCTTAGCCAGCTTTTCCCAGCTCCTCCTTCCCCTCCTTTCCCAGGCCCTGGAAACCACCATTCTGCCTCTCAACTTTTGAGACAAATTTCTATAGATTCCATATATAACTGAAGTCATATACTTGCCTTTGTGTACCTGGCTTACTTCACCTAACATAATGGCCTCTATGTTTATCTGTTTTCAGAAATGATAGGATTCCATTCTTTTATAGCTATATACTATCCCACTTTGTCTACACACTACACGTCCTTTGTCTCTCACCAGCTGGTGGACACTTAGGTTGCTCTCCATTTCTTCACTATTCTATTGGTTCACCTGTCCATTTTTATGCCAGCACTAAGCTGTCTTTAACACCATAGTTCTGTAGTGTGGTTTGAGGTCTGGAATTGTGATACCCCTAGTTGTGCTCTTACCCCATAGGAGTGCTTTGGCTATCTGTGGTCTTTTGTGGGTCCATATGCATGCTTGGATTGTTTTTTCTAGTTCTGTGAAGTTGGAATTTTGATAAGCACTACATCAAATCCACATATTAATTTTGATAGTAGAGCCATATTGATTCTGCCAATCCAGGAGCATGGAAGGCCTTTCTATCATCTAGCACCTTCTTTGAGTTCCATTTTCAGTGTCTTCAAGTTTTCATTATAGAAGTCTTTGTCTTCTTTAGTTAAAGTGTATTCCTACATGCTTAAATTTTTGGGTGCTATTTTGAAGGGGATATTTTTCCTAGTTTCTTTCTCCAAGAGCATATTGTTGGTATATAAAAAGATAGTTTTATATTAATTTTATATCCTACAACTTTACTATAAGTGTTTATTAGACTTAAGAGTTTTCTAGTAGCTTCTGTATGGTCTTAAGTATCGAATCATGTCATCTGTAAATGATTTGACCTCTTCCTCTACTATTTTTATCTCCTTCATGCCTTTCTCCTTTCTAATTGCTGGGACTAAGACTTCAAGCTCAAGCACTATAATAAATGAGAGGCAAGTGGGTATCCTTGTCTTGTTCCTTATTTTAGGGGAAAACACTCTAGTGTGTCTCCATTTAATATCATGCTGGCTCTAGGTTTGTTATATATAGCCATTTTGACATACGCTCCATCTATCCCTAACTTCTCCAAAACTTCTATAATGAAGGCATGTTGAACTTTCTCAAGCTCAACTTTTCAGCATCAATCAAGATGATTATGTGATTTCTGTCCTTTCATGTGTTTACATGGTTTTTACATTTATTGATTTATGTATGTTCAACCAACCTTGTCTTTCTGAGATAAAGCCCACTTGGTCATAATGTACCTAAATTTGGTTTGCAAGTATTTTGTGGAGAGTTTTTGCATCTACGATCATTAAAGAAATTGGTCTGTAGTTTTCTTTCTTGTTATTGTTGTGTCTTCACCTGGTTTGGGTATCAGAATAATACTGGCTTCATAGAACATATTTGGTAGTGTTCATTCACTTTCTGTTTCGTGGAACAAGTTCAGAAATACTGGTGTGAGATCTTCCTAGAAAGTCTGATAGAATTCAGAGGTGAAACCATCTGGTCCAGCACTTTTCTTTGAAGGGAGACTTTTTTTTGTTTTTGTTTTTGTTTTTGTTTTTCAAGACAGAGTCTCCCCGTAGCCCCATTTGTTCTGCAACTCGCTGGAACTCACTGTGTAGATCAGGCTGACCTCAATCTCACAGAAATCTGCCTGCCTCTGCCTCCGGAGTGCTGGGATTAAAGACGCATGCCACCAATGGAAACTTTTAATTCCAGCTTCTATCTCAGTGCTTATAATGGGTGTGTTTAAGGTTATTTATATCTTCTAATCATGTTCTCTGTTTCACTGGAGTCTGTTTTAATAACACCCTTTTAATCTCTTATTTGTGCCTTCTCCCTCTTTTTGTCATACCTAAGAGTTTGTCAATCTTATTTACTTTTTCAAATAAACAGCTCTTTCCTTAGTTTTATGTATTGTTTTCACTGTATGTCTCATTAATCCTTTCCCTCTTATTATTTCTTGTCATCTACTTGGATTGGGATTTGCTGCTTGTTTTCCAAGAGCCTTGAGGTGCATCATTAGGCTGTTTATTTTATATTTCTCAGGGGTTTTGGTTTCTTTGGTTGGTTGGTTTTAGTTTTTTGAGACAAGGTCTCACTATATGGCCCTTCCTGACCTGGAGTTCACTATGTAGACAAGGCTGGCCTTGAGCTAACAAATTCACCTACCTCTGCCTCCTGAGTGCTGGAATTAGAAGTGTGTGCCAATGCTTATTGTTATAAACTTTTCTCTTATGGCCGCCTTAGCTGCATTCCAGAGGTTTAACGGGTTGTGAGTTGCTGTGTTTGACATGGGTGTTTCTTTCCCAGGTCTAGTTTATCTGTTCTTTACACGGAGTGTACACTTTCATGTGTGTACATGGAGGAGGTGATCTTTCTTCTTCCTCCCTGTAAAGTACTCCATTAAGATTTCTCTGCAATACTAGCTTGTCAAAAATTGCCTTAATTTGTGTTTCTCTTGAAATACCATTATTTCACCATCAATTTCAAAAGATAACTTTTCAGGTTATAGCACTTATGGTTCACAGATATTTACTTTCAGAGCTTCAAATATTTTGTTCTATGCTCTTCTGGTTTTTATATGCACTAATGAAAAGTCTGTGGTAATTCTGATATTTCTACCTTTGTATGTAAGTTGGCATTTTCCTCATACCGCTTTCAGGATTAGTTATTTTGTATTTTTAACATCCTGACATGTGTCTGTGAGTTTCTTTTGTAAGTCTTTTTCATTTTATTTTATTTTATGTGTATGTGTATTTTGTATTTTGTCTCATGTAAGTGTACCTGTGCATGCAATGGCCACAGAGACCAGAGAGGACACAGATCCCTGGAACTGGAGTTACAAATGGTTGTAACTGAACCCCAGTCCTCTGCAAGAGCAGCCAGTGCTCTTAACCTCTGAACTATCTCTCCAGCCCCCTATTCCATTTGATTTTATTTCTGGTCCTTCCTCTACACTGTGAATCCTTGGCTGTGGACTCTTGAATGTATCCCAGACTTCTTCCAAGCTTTGCTCATGCTCCCTAACTTTTTTCCCTGTATATGTCTGTTTATATTACTTGACTGTATCTTCTATCCCTGAAATTAATTCTTTTGCATTAGCAGAATGATAGTTATCGGCTGTGTTTTTTCTTTGATTGACCATCTCCTTCGTTGCACGTATTTGATTCCTTTTCAATGTTTCAATCTCCTTGCTAAAATTTCTCCTCCATATTTTGGACTTTCACCTCCAGTTTACTGATTGCTTCATTCTCTTTGGAGACTATCTTGTCAAGGTCTCAGATAATCACCTTAATTTGTGCATCTGTTGATTTGATTCTTCTATATGGTCATTAATTCTTTTAAAAAGTAAAACTCTAAGCTGGGCATGGTGGTGCACACTTTTAATCCCAGGACTTGGGAGGCAGAGGCAGGCGGATCTCTGAGATGGAGGCCAGCTTGGTCTACATAGTGAGTTCCCAGCCAGCTGGGACTACAGGGAGACCCTGCCTCAAAAGACGGGAGGATTATAGAGAGTCCAGGGTAGTGGTTACCACATTCACAAAGGTGTGAGAGGTTGGCACTGGGACTTCTCATGAGGATGGAGGGCCACCTGGAAATAACCATCAAACTTTTTCTGCTCATCAGCCATCCCCATAGGCCTCTCCAGTGCTGTGCTCTTCCTATAGACTTCCAACTGGAAGCACCTTTGTCTCCTCTGGCCACGAGAACCCACTTCACTCACACTCATTGTGAGTGGAGTCAGACATGTCAAGGATCAACACCCTCTCCCCATCCCCCCAAAATCCTCCATTGATAATTATTTGGAAATGGTGCACATGCAGCACACCTCCCTCTGCCCCAGGATGACACTGAGGGACTGGGAACTAACCTTATTTGGACAGGTACATAGATAGGGAAAGAGCCACTGATGAGTAATCAAGATAGCATGCTTCCATCTTCTTGTTCTGAGACAAAGGCCTTGGGGCTCCCCCTCTAGCCAGCAGAGCCTCCGTTCCAGCTAGTTCAAATCAGTTCAGTTAAGACCAAGGCCAGACCTGACACCTCCTCATCTGAACTCATAAACTTATCAATCTTCTTTAAGTTGACCAATCCAAAACCAGGGGAGGGGGAACCCACCAAAATCCTTAAAAATCCAGGCCCTCTGGGAAAGACTTGGATTTCTGTTCCAAATCTCCTCCTCACTTGTGAGGAGTCTTGTTCCTATGTGGGTGTGAATCCTCATCTTTCAATAGTCAATGTCCTCTTCTCTCCACTGCATCTGAGATTTTTCCTGCTCTTTCATTCTTTAATTGGCTAAGAAAATGAACCAGATCACAACCCCTAGACAGCCCAGCTTCCTCTCAATTTTTTATCTTGAGTTTACTTCATGTAGAAGACAAACTTCTAGAAACATATCCAATGAATTTTCCTTATACATGTGTAAAGATTAGATATATCCAATTTATTAATTCAGCATTTGCACTAGCAAGAAGTTGGAAGAACTATATTCAAAGGAGACTGGTTCAACACATTATAATGTACTCACACAGAGGAATAAAATGCAGCTATAGCAATTTATAGTTTATATGAAATAACAAGCATATTGATGAAAAGACAAGCTGCATAGCATACAGTGTTACCATTTGCCTAAAATAGCGTGCATGCATGCATGTGTGTGTGCGTGTGTACGTGTGTGTTTGTACATCCTATAAACTTTGTGAAAGAGATTCAAAACACATAGCCTTGACTACCCCTAAGGAGGGAAGCTGTGTCGCTAGGAAGAGCCACTTTCCACTACACGCTCTTTTTCGTTTTGTTTTGTTTTGCTTTGCTTTGCTTTTGTTTTGCAGTGCTGGGGGTTGGACTCAAGGCCTTGCACATGGTAGGCAAGTGCTCTACCACTGAGCCACATCCCCAGCTTTTCTCTACATACTCATGAATGTCTTTTGATTTTGACCCTACAGACAGGTTCGTTGATTCAAAAATAAAAAATAACATTAAAACAATAAAAAAGAGGTGAAAGGAGATTTATCCTTCTTCACTGGACATCTTTGTGGGACCCGTCAGCACTCTGTGGTGTGGATTTGACAGATTCCTGTCGCTCACCAGCTCTCTAGTCCACGTCTAGCTTCTCCTGGACGCTCAGTACTGCCTTCTGGTCACCAGGCTCTTTCAAGTCTGCAGCACCCATGGAAGAAAACCTCACTTCCTTTAGCAACAGCCATAGCATCTCCCTTTATGCTCATCTGCAAGAACTGCCATCACCTCTCCCAGAGGAGGGCCCATCAGCATCTCTCCTCACACACAAGGAAGGCCAAGAGATTCCTTTTGACCCAAGAGGGTCTGTTGATGACAAGAAATGTCTGAGCCACACACAACTCGCACACATAAGCAGAAAGCCCAAGCTTGCTTTCCTGTGTAAGACATCACTACATCAGCCTCCTAAAGGATATGTCTGTCCAGCAGTCTAGGGACCTGTGTGTTGGCCTGACCAGAGTCCTGCTTGCTGTTGGAGGGGTCACTCCATGGAGAGGGGGCCATTACTGAGGTGGGGCTGCTGGGGGATCAGCTTCATTCATCATGTTCTTGTACTGCCGTTTGAAGAAGCCAAGCTGTCAGGGTAAAAAAAGAAGGTAAGGGCCACAGAGACAGGGCTACAGGTAAAGCTCATACAGAGCAGGGAAGGATAGGATAACAAAACACAGGGCAAAAATTAACAGGGCAGACTATGGGAAGGGTCTGGGAAAAGTGAGACAGGGAGAGAAACAGTATCAACACCAGGGTTAGGGAAGAAATATAAAATAGGTGCTGGAGAGCTGGCTCAGCAGTTAAGAGCACTGACTGCTCTTTCAGGGGACCTGGGTTCGATTCCCAGTACCCATACGGCAGCTAACAACCATCTGTAACTCCAGTTCCAAGGGAATCTGACATCTCCTTCCAACCTCCAGGCATTGCACCACACGGGCGCACTTACATATATGCAGGGAATACATGCATACACATAAAATAAAAATAAAAATAATTTAAAAAATAAATGTAAGGGCCTGGAGAGATGGCTCAATGGTTAAAAACTGTTCTTTCAGAAGACCCAGGTTCGAATCCCAGCACCCACATGGCAACTAATAACTGTCCCTAACTCCAGTTCCAGGGTATCCAACAGCCTCTTCTGTCCTCCTCAGGAATTGCATGACGTGAGTGCACTTACCTATATGCAGGCATGACACTCACACACATAAAATTTAAAAATTAAAAATAAATAAATAAATATAAAACATAACAAGAATAATCAATACTCCTTAAATTGTGGCCATTCTGTACCAGGGGCTATTCTAGTCACTCTGCATGTTTTATGCTAATTTACTTTATAAAATGGGTATTGATATATTATCTTTTTTCTTTATTTTTATGTGTATGAGTGTTGTGTTTACATCTATGTAAGTGTCCTTGTGTCATGCAGTTCCCTTGGAGGCCAGAAAAGGGCACTGGATCCTCCAGAACTGGAGTTATGGATGGGTGTTAGCTGCCATGTGGGTGCTGAGAACAGAATCTGGGTTTTCTGCAAGAACAGCCAGTGCTCTTAACTACTGAGCCAGCTCTTCAGCCCTAATCAATATTATTTTACAAATGACAAAACTGAGGCACAGAGAGGTTCTGACTTGCCCAAAGCCATACAATTAGCAGCAATACTGAGAGCCAAGCCCAGTAATGGAATTCTGTGGAGATGTGGGGAAGCAGAAAGAGGGCCAGCCAAGGTATACCTTGTACAGTCCAGCAGTGATGAGGGCCAGGAGCACCAGCCCCCCGATGGAGCTCCCCACAATGAGCAGTAGAGGGTTGTGAACAATATGTGGCTCCACTTTGGTCTGCGTCTAAGGGAGGGACGGAAGAAAGGAGATGCAACAATGGGACACTTCTGGAGGTTTCCCAACCAGACTTGTGCATTCCTCAAGGACTAGCCCTTCCCTATGACCCACAACACTGCAGCCCTCACTCCTCCCATCTGCTCCTTTCTCTAACCCAAAGATGAGCTTCACAAGCCCAGCTTCCTCCTCCTTCCAGCAGTCCCCCTGTGCCTGAGACAAGTACCTGGGACTTCACAAATAACCCCTGTCCTGGAAGCAGGGCAAACTCGGATTCATTAAACAGGATCTCCGCTGTACTCACAAGCAGAAGGTGGTTATGAGAAGTCTGTGGAGAGAGCAGAGTGAGAGCCCAGCCTGGGGCTCTGAAGGGTCATGGCTGCCTTAAGACCCCACATACCTTAATATACCAGTCAAATGAGAGGTTGCCTTTGAGGACAACACTGAATTTTTCCTGAGCATTGAAGGACGAGATGTCACACTGGATTCTCTTACAGACAGCAACAGAGCAATTCTGGAGAAGGAAGGCAAGGAGGCATATGATGAAAGAAGCTGGGGAGACCATGATGGCTGTACATGTGGCCCCAAGGTTGGAGCCAGGCGTCTTACCAGCACTGGGGTCTTCTCAAGCTCATTCAGGAACTCAGAGCGAGGTGGGGATCTCTCCTCGGTTTGACAGGCACTTGAGAGGTCCTGAGGAATGAGAGGCACTGAGGAGAGAAATGAGGGTGCTGGTCCCACCCAGCAGAGTGATAGTCTGGGTCCCGGGGAGGGTCCAAGGAAGAGGAAACAGAGGTCTTAGGGAAGACCTTAGCTGCGGGAAAAGGAGTTAGACTCACTTCTTGAGCCCAGCTGGACTCACCTGGGAGAAGACAACCTCGGGATGGCTCCATACAGGCACCTGGTTAAGCTGGACAGGGATCCAGAAAACCACACTGATAGGGAGGCTCCTCTGGCCCAGGTTGTTGAACTACACCGGAAGGGAGGGGTCAGAGTTCTGGCCTTGTGACCTCACTGTCTCCTAGAATCAGCTCCTCATTCCCTATAGCCCAGAACAGCTAACATTCTAAGCTTCCTGCCTCTTTAGGGAACCAAGAGTATACACTAAGCACATACTTGAACCACACAGGCTGCTCTTAAGTTCCTGCTCTTCCACCTAGTTGTTTCTTTAGCCATAAACATGGGACAGCAACGGTGCCTCAGAGCCCAGATGGAGGAAAAATAAGCTCATTCTGTGTATGTGTGTGTGTATGTGTGTGTGTGTGTGTGTGTGTGAGAGAGAGAGAGAGAGAGAGAGAGAGAGTGTGTGTGTGTGTGTGTGTTAAGGGGAGAGAGAGAGAGAGAGAGAGAGAGAGAGAGAGAGAGAGAAGAGACAGCTTAGAGCTGTGCCTGGCACACCACAGGAAGCAACATTTGCACACTTCCTAGACCTGCTTTCTGCATTGTCGTCACATCAGTGTCCCTTCCTGGTACCCTCTCACAACCCAGACCTCCCCAGCTCCCCACCTGGTATTGATGCTGTATGACCTGACTGGTCATCTCTGACGCCGTGAAGTTGAGGTATTTGGTAGAGTTCTCACTGCTAAAAGAAGAAAGAGGAGACAGACAGTGATAGAACATGAAGGCGTCCCAGGAGAGGATCTTGGCCTGAGTGTGTAAGGGGGGACTAGGAACAGGAAGGAGCAACGCAGTCTGGGACGCAGGACAGAATGGAGTGGTGGATGACATTTGTCAGACACACGGCATGGTGTGTGTGGGTTTGGGCACAAATACATACACACACGCATATAGTTCCTCCACATAGGCACACATGCACACACAACACAAGTTGGTTCGTTAACACAAATACGTGATGGCTGTATCCAGCCTGATGGGGAAAGAGTCGGGCAGAGCAGCACCTGGTGACCACCATGTAGACAGCATATTTCACAGGCAACTCCAACTGAAACTTAGTCTTGTGGGTGCTGGACATGTTGTTCTCACTGAAGGAAAAGCAAGAGCTTGGTCAGCTCTAAGAGCTGAGAATCAGCCTTTCCTTTTCCCTCACCCTCTACCTCTAGTCAGCCTCCATGTCCTTATCCCCACATCTAAACCCCACAGTCCCCCTGCCCCTGCTTTGCTGGCCCTTCCTCACCCACTCCAGTAGCTAACGCAGCCCTCTAACTGCTCCCTCCCCAGTCCTCAGTCCTGTAGATGGTGACCTTCTAACACATCCCTGTTACTCATGGCCCAGACTGCAAACCCCCTAACAGCGCTCAGCAGTCCTTCTGTCCTTCTGTGCCATGACCCGTACCTACCCACACCGCCAACTCCTTAAACCCTGCACATGTGCTTCAGCTGTTCTTTTAACATTGCTTTACATCTATTTACTTTAGTGTGTGTTGTGTTAATGTGTATGTATTTGTGTACATGCATGCCACAGCACACATGTGGAGGTCAGAGAACAACTTGCAAGAGTCAGTTCTCTCCGGGGATTGAACTCGGGTTATCGGGCTTGGCAATAAACGCCCTTAATTGCTGAGCCATCGCACCAGTCCTACTTTTTTATTTAATTTATTATTATGTGGGTGAATGGGTGCCTACTTGCCACAGCACATATGTGGAGGTCAGAGGACAACTTCATACAGTTGGTTCTCCCCTTCCACTTTTACATGGGCTCCAGGGACTGGACTTAGGTCATCAGTCCTATGCAGTGAGTGTTTGCACCCACTGAACCATCTCACTGGTCCTGATTAAACCAGTCTTAAACAGGCCTCCATCTCGCCAAGCTCTGGGTTTTGCCTGGTACATGCTTCCCTCCATCTTCACACCTTTGCTTGGCTTACTCATAATCTAAATATATTCTCCTCGATAATCTCTAAATATCAAGTTCTCTAGAACGCTGGGCATCTCCCCCACCACCACCCCCACCACTTGATCATTTATTTCATACTGTTTGTAATCGCCTATTCTCTTGTCTGTCTGTGCCACTAAAGAATAACCTCTGTGAGGGCAGGAACCACAGTCTTATCCACCACCAACCCCTCAGTACTTGATATACTGTCTAGCACCAAGAAAGAGAGGGAAAGGTTTTCCCTGGACAAGGGGCAGGACTTCATTGGGGATGCAAATTGTAGGTCAAGAACAGTCACCTGGTCACATTGGCCTTGAGGAGCAGTTTGTTTCCAAGGGAAGCATCCAAGTCCACATCAAATGTGATATTCAAAATGACCTAGAGTTGGAGAATAGAGACTGATTAAAAATGGTATAGAAGAAATAGCACAATTGTCCATCAACCAATGAATGGGATAAATAAAATATGACATGATACAATACTGTTCAGATATACAAAGAGATAAACTGCTGATAGATTAAGATCCTGGAGAGCACAATGCTCACTGCAAGAAGCCAGTCACAGAGCCACACACTATATGCTTCTATGTATGTGGGAAATCCAGAGGCGCAAATCCTTAGACACAGATTAGATTAGTGGCTTCCGGGCACTGATTAGCAAAGTCTCAAATTGATCAGAAAGGTGGATACATAACTGAATACACTAATCACGGAATTGTACATAATGGATGAGTTTATGAGATGTGAATAATACCTCAATAAAGCTGGTTTGTAGAAAGCAACATTTTTTCTTAGAAGGAAAAGGAAAGAGAGTGGGAAGAGATGGAGGAGGAGGAGGAGGAGAAAGATGAGGAGGAGGAGGTGGAGGAGGAGGGGGAAAGGAGGAGGGGGAAGAGGAGGAAGAGGAAGAAGGGGGGAAGAGGAGAACTACACAAGGCAAAGCGGAGAAACAGCACAGGAGCTGGAGCTCTGACCTCTGAGTTGCCAGGGAAGATGGGGTGGTTTATGTTGCAGGTGGTTCTCTTCAGAGCCCCACGCCCTTCAGCAGAAGAGGTAGAATCACAGGTCAGGCGCCAGGATCTCTTTGAGTGCTGGTTCTGGAACCAAGGGAGGCTCTGTCAACCACTGACCCCAGAGGGGAGGAACACAGAGGCCAAGAGGCTGAGGAGCATTTGGCTACCTGAGCTACCAACGCCTTCCGAAAGGACAAACCAGGGGGGTAGGAGAAGGTGGCCTTAGTCCCGTAGGAGTCTTCACCATCATTTCTCACAGTCAGTCTCATACTGAGGCCTCGGGGATCTCCCACCACCAAAGTATCTAGGCTGTGAGAGCAAAAGGCAGGCCAGGAGATGTCAAGGGCTCTTCCACACCAAGTTCATTTGCTGGAGAGAGAATGGAGAACAGAGCAGCCACCCAAGATCTTGTGGCACCAGATACCTCTGAAGGAACACAGGCTCCCTTGAGGATCAGGAATAGAGCATTGCATGGTAATTCAGGTTTGAAGAAAGCCAGGATGAAAAGAAACTCACTCCATGAAACTGAAGGAAATGCTGAGGTCATCTTGGCAAATGCTGTCATTGCCACAATTCTTCTCAAAGGGAAGCTAAGAAAAAATACAATAAAAGGAAATCACGAAGAATAAGATAAAATGTTTAAATGAGGGGCTGGAGAGATGGCTCAGCGACCTGGGTTCAGTTCCCAGCACCCACATGGCAATTAACACCCATCATTAACTCCAGCTCCAGGGGATATGACACCCTCTTCTGGCCTCCACAGGCACTGCACAACATAGTTACACTTACATACAAACACTCATACACATAAAATAAAAATAAAGAAATCAAAAAATTTTAATGTTTAAATGAAATTATATAAAATAAAAGAAGCTTTAGCAACCTCTCCTTCTGATCTCTTCTAAGCTCCTACAGGGCCCCAACCCCCGGACTCACCGTGGCTGTGAAGAGTTTTTGAGCATCCATAGCCAGAACTGGCCGAAGGTTCCCCGAGAAAGGCAAGGGAATCCCCATCAGCGTATAGTTGAGGCGCAGGACGATGGGGTTCACTGAGTCGTTCACACAGCCCTGAGAGATAGTGGGGATTGGGCGATCTGTCTTCCTCAGCTTCCCAAGGCCACTCATTCTCAGCCAAGGGATCTGCCGTTTGCCTGCTCACCGGTAACTGTAGCTTCAGGTTTTCACATTTCCGCATCAGCCCTAAGGTCTGCGTGTGCCTGCACGTGCTGTTCTTTGTCTCCTCAAAGATGGCGCGTGCGTTCTGGCGGCCTGGGTCCAAGGCCAGGTCATAAGTGACAGTACTCTGGATATCTCCTGAAGAGAAGAGGTGGTAAGGAGCTCAGCAGACAGGGTCTGTGGCCACAGCTCCACTCCGAAAGGTATGATTTTTGGCACGTTATCTGAACTCTCTGAATTAATTCCTCATTTTCAGAGTAAGAATAATAATTATCAGTGGTAGAAAGAAATGAAGTAGTGCCCATAAATAAGTCCTCAAAAAAGAAAATCATAGCCGTTCTGTTCTAACAGTTACTGGAGAGCTGGTTCTACTTCTCTTCTCTCTAAGGGGCTTTTGTTTGGCCTGGTTTTCTCTTTGTAATTCACCAGTTTGACTGTAGTGTGCTTTGTTGCAGTTCCCTTTGTATGTATCCTGCTTTGATTTTGTAAATAATCAATGTTTTGATTAGTTTTGAACAAGTCTTAGCCACTGTTTATTACTTCTTTCTTATTCACAGCCCCAATCTCTGCTCCCCGTCTCCCCAGCTCGAGCCAGAAGGCTAGGCAAACCAAGAGGAGCAAACGTCTCTATCTTTTAACCTGGAGATTTACCCATCACACCTCACCTCTCAACCGATCACGTGTGCTCTTGTGGATGCGGAGGCAGACTCTGACCTCCCCAGCATCCTTGCTTCTTGCCACTTGTTCCTGACACTCAAATACACTCCTTGCCAATTTCTTGGGATTGAACTCCATAGTTGCCTCAAGTGTCAGTACTGGCTGTGCTCTAGGGGGACACCAGAGATCCATCAGGAACCTTCAGACAGCAAAGAAGCTTCTTCAAGGGAAAACAGCTGCTGTGCTCCAAAGTTCTCACCTGAGCAGCAGGATGTGTCCCTGGGCCCCCACAGTCAGGTCTGTCAAGCCATCCATTGTGAGATCTTTGCCCCCACTCAGAGACTGACCCAAGTACTGGAGCCCAGGGGAAAGTTGGGAGCCTGTGATCCTCTGAGAATGAGAAAGAGAAGAACAGGGAAGAGTGTGACAAAATCACCCAAGACAGAGCACAGACTCTCTGGATGCTACCCCAGGCTCATCCCCTATACTTTTCAAAGAATTGAGATAATTTAAAACTTATCAAGCAATTACTTTAAGTTACAATCTCAGAATGATGCCCAAATTTTTCCTTAATTATCTGAGTTTGCAAAAGAAAGCAAAATGTTTTATAGGAAAGAATAAAAATATATTATTTGGTCTAGTTGGATCTCATTTATATAGTCAGAAAAATGCAAACATTGAATACTGATCTAACAAAAATTCTATCTTTTATTTTATTTATTTTATTATTTTGTGTGTGTATATTTGGGGCACATGCCCACCATGGTGCACGTGTGGAAGCTGGGGGAAAACTTGCAGGAGCCAGCTCTCTCCTCCCATCCTGTGGGTCCTAGGGATCAAACTTAGGTCATCAGGCTTGGAAGCAAATACCTTTACCTGCCAAACCATCAAACTGACCCCAAAATTCTCATATAAGAATGAGGAATAATTCAGAGGTAGAGAGTTAGTATGTTACAAGGCGGAAATTAAAAGTCAGCATAATCTTACCATTGACAGTGGCTAGCAGGTCAAGCACTTGCCCACAAGCCTGAGTACCTGAACTTGATCCCTGGAACCCATGGTGGAAGGAGAAAAACAATGTCTGAAACTTATCTTTTGACCCCTGTTGGGAGCCGGAGGCTCAGCCATTTCTCAAAACTGCTGACAGACCTGAGTTGGTGACTTTCCATTCTGCCCACCCTCCTCCCGCGGGCATGGGAAAGTGCCCACAACCTTGGCTCATAGCCGGGGCTGGTAGCCTGCGGCCTTGCTCTAGTTATTGTAAATAGCTCTGTTTTCTGTTGATCAGTAGACTCTCACAGGCACTGGATGGAGACCGCGGCCTTTGCCTGCGGTCTTGTTTTCTATCCCAGTAACTGCCTTGCTCTCAGTGGATTCCTCCTTTGGAGTGCACCTGGGTCTTTGCTATCTGGCTGATATGATTCAGTCCAGTCTGCACTTCTTATTTTACTGTATGCTTGTGCTTCAATAGACGAGACTTGATCAGAGCACTGTCTTGTCTCCATTTCTCTTGTCTGATTGCCCCATCCAAATCCCCACTCCCCAATCCAGGTACCCCATTGCAGTTCCCGCGGGGTGGGACAGACCACCATGTGTGCACCTGCACATGCACTTATAAACATATATCACAGACACACACACACACACACACAATTTTTAAGTGCATGAGACACCGCCTGGGGGTGAAGAGCTGCCCTTTCTCCACATCTTCACCAGCACTTCTGATTTTCATCTGTCTGGTAGCAAGCATTCAAACTGTGTGAGACAACGTCTCACTGTGGTTTTGATTCACATCTCGCTAATGGTTAGTGACCCTTAATGGTCATAATGTACTTGTTGGTCATTTGTATGACTTCTTTTTTTTTTGAAAAACATGTATGCACATCGTGCCCATTATTAATTGTCATATAAAATAATGAAATTCTGTCATTTGTAGCAATGTAGATGGAACTGGATGAAATTAGGTTAAATCAAATAAACCAGACACAGAAAGAAAAATATTGCATACTCTTATTTATGGAAGGCAAAAGAATAGATCACATAGAAGAGAGTGGGATAGTGGTCACTAGAAACTGAAAAAGGAAGGAGTAAACAGGGCACAGGTCAGATAATGGGTACCAAAAGAGTTACATCGGAGTTATTTCTGGGGATCTAATAACTCAATAGTGCAACTTAGTCTACAAAAAATGTATGATGGGGGCTGGAGAGATGGCTCAGTGGTTAAGAGCACTGGCTGCTCTTGCAGAAGACCAGGGTTTAGTTCCCAGCATCCACATGGCGACCAACAACCAGCTGTAATTCCAGTTCCAGGGAATCATATACCTTCTTCTGTCCTCCACGGGCATTGCCCACATGGGTGCACTTACATACATGCAAGCAATACACTTATACACACAAAATAAAAATAGTGAATAAAATATTTTTAAATGTATGACAGATTGACAATAACTTCAAGAGTTTGAAGTTTCCTAACACATACAAATGATAAATGCTTAAGGAGACAGAAATGGCAAAGACCCTGATTCGATCATTACACATGTACATGTGTGCTGAATTATCATACCATAGACCATAAATACATACAAATCCTATGTGCACTCCACCTGGTGTAGGGGCTGAGAACTTGGCAGACTGCCTGAGAGTGCCTGAACGGGCCTCTGCCTAGGGTGGGGGCAGAGAACTCAGCAGACAACCTGAGAGTGCCAGATCTGGCCTCCACCTGGTGTAGGGACTAAGACCTCAGCAAACCACCTGAGAGAACCTGGATCTGCCCTCCAGGTGATGCTGAGCTTCCCCAAAGCTTCCCCAAATCACACCATACCCAACCCCCTAAATGGGATTATATGAGGCCCCTCCCACAGCCCCAGAGGTAGACCTACCCTACTATAGGGCAGAGACCTTAACATACCACCTGAGAGTGCCTGATCTGGCCTCCACCTGGTGGAGGGGTTGAGAACACAGCAAACTGCCTGAGAGTGCCTAAATCAGGCCTCCCTCCTCTTAGCAAACTTCCCAACTGTGCTCTGAGTACCTGCTAGAAGGAGTCCAAACGTTAGAAAGAAGCCTGAGTGTAACAGACTTGAGCCTGACTTGGGCCTCTCTGGGAGTTCGTGAGTAGCTGATCTGAAGCCATCAGTTCCCTCCAAAATAAAATCTGAGAGAACAGCTTTACATACCCAATAAGAAGACAACCAAGGCACAACAATAATACAAACAGAAGCAGACCTCAACTCAACAAAGGAAGGCTTGAGTTTCATACCAGAATCACAAACAACAAAAGAAATACATGTGCCAAAATCACAATGGAAAAATAATAACAGGGAAAACCAAAACAGTGTGTTCCCACCAAACTCCACCAGTCCCGTAAAAGAGTTCTACAAAGAACCCCCTAGTGATAACCCAGGACACATAATTTTAAAAAGCAATCATAAACATGATCAAAGAATTCAACGAACTTAAAGAACACATAAACAAATCAAAGAACTAAAGAACATAGGGATAAATTCATTTTTTAATTCACAAAAGAGAAAAATTGAAGAAAAGTCAGGCTGAAATGAAAAAGGAAGTGAAAAACTCAGTAAGCCAATTTGAAACAACAGGAAAAATCCTCACCACTAGAATGAATGAAATGGGAAATAGAATATCAACACAACCAGGGCTAGAGAGATGGCTCAGTGGTTAAGAACACTGGTTGTTCTTGCAGAAGACCTGGGTTCGAATCCCAGCACCCACATGGAAGTTAACAACTGTCCGTAACTCCCAGGGGATCCGATGGCATCTTCTGACCTCCATGGGCATTGCACAACACGGGTGCACTTACCTACATGCAAGCAATACACGCATACACATAGAATAAAAATAATAAATAAATAAAATTTTTAATTAAAAAAATATCAAAATAACCAAAAAAGAAAACTATAGACCTAGATCCTTAATGAACATAGAAGCAAAAAATCTCAATGAAATACTTGCAAAACCACATACAAACACACATCAAAAAAGATCATTCATCATGATCAAGTAGGCTTTATTCAAGAGATGCAGAGATGGTTCAATATACACAAATCAATAAATGTCATAAATCATATAAATGGACTCAAAGACAAAAACCACATTATCTCAATAGATGCAGAAAAGGCTTCAAACAAAATTCAGCATGCATTCATGATTAAAGTTCTAAAGGGAATTGGACTGGAGGGAACATCCCTCAACACAATTAAAGCCAAATACAACAAACCCACAGCCAACATCATTCTAAATGGAAAAAAAAAAAACGGAAGCACCCCCATTAAATTAAAATCAGAAACCAGACAAGGCTGTCCACTATCTCCACTCCTTTTCAATATAGTGCTTGAAACTCTGGGTAGAGCAATAAGACAAGAGACGGAAATTAAAGGAGTACTAATTGGAAAAGAAGAGGTCTAATTATCCCTTTTTGCAGATGATATGACACTATACCTAAGAGAGCCCAAAGATTCCACCAAAAAACTCCTAGAAATGATCAACACCTTCAGTAAAGTGGCAGGTTATAAAATTGTTCTACAAAAATCAGTAGCCTTTCTATACACCAAAAACAAGCCCAACCGAGAAGGAGTACAGAGAAACCCTCCCTTTCACAATAGCCTCAAAAAAATATAAATAAAATAATTTGGAATAAATCTGACCAAAGACATCAAAGACCTCCACAATGAATTTTAAATATTTAAAGAAAGAGATTGAGAAAGACACCAGAAGATGGAAGGACCTCCCATGCTCATGGACTGGAAGAATTAATATTGTGAAAATGACCATCCTACCAAATGCCATTTATAGATTCAATGCAATGCCAATCAAAATCCCCATGACATACTTCACAGAATTAGAAAAGAAAATCCTTAAATTTGTATGGAAGCACAAAAGGCCCCAGATAGCCAAAGCAACCCTGAGCACAAAGAGCAACACTGGGGGCATCACTATACCAGATCTCAATGTATACTACAGAACCATAGTCATAAAAACAGCATGGTACTGGCACAGAAATAGACACATAGATCAATGGAACATCATTAAAGGCCCAAACCTGAGTACATGCAATTTTGGCCACCTGATATTTGACAAAGGTGCCAAGAACACACAATGGAGGAAAGACAGCATCTTCAACAAATGGTGCTGGCAAAAATGGATCTCCACCTGTAGAAGAATGAAACTAGAGCCTTACCTTTCACCTTGCACAAAAGCCAACTCCAAATGGATCAAAGAGCTCAGCGTGAAACTCAAAACTCTGAAACTATAAGAAGAAAACATTGGCAGTAACTTACAAGATAAAGGTGTAGGAAAGGACTTTCTAAATCAGATACTAGTTGCTCAGGAATTAAGGTCAACAATCAACAAGTGGGACCCCATTAAAGTAA